AGAAAGAAAGAAAGAAAGAAAGAAAGAAAGAAAGAAAGAAAGAAAAGTAAAAGAGATTAACTTTTTTTCTTTGGTTTTAATAGGCCTCTTCCTGTCTTCACTCCTGTACTGAAATAAATATAGTGGTAAAATCTAGTCGCAGTTTCAGATTGGAGAGACAACATTAAAACAAATCTGGCCCCAAAGTATTTTCCTGCTGTGGGTGTAGGATCTAAAAGGATCTCTGCGTGGTGGTCATGCTGACCAACCACTGTATTTCTGGGGTAGCTAACTTACACCAGAAGCCAAATGTATGATTTGGGACTCTGCCCGTCGAGGAGAGGTGAGGAGCTGGTGCTCAGATGAGCATTATGCATTGCATGTCCTGACATGTACACTTTGAAAACTTTTCTTCCAGATCTGGCTTAGGCTTAGCATCAGGTTGTTAGTGTCTTACCTTGAGGGATGCAGGACACGCCATCACTTGCTAAAGTGTAATCATCATCACAGAAGCACAGTCGTGTTGTGGACTGCTTGTCAGTACAGTACTGTTCACAGCCACCATTGTCAAAAATGCACTTCAGTTTGTCAGCCACAGCTAGAGTCAGAGAAAGAGCATTTAGGATTCAAGACTTGGATTTTTGTGCTTAACGCTGATAACTTGCAATTGGAATGCTGTCAGGAAAGCAAGGCAGGAAAAGAGATTTTTGTGATTTATGCAGAGCAACTTCATCAAAAGTCCTTTCCATCAAAAGCTAAGTAGGCCTGGATCTCCAGGGGTTAGGGGAGAATAGGCTTTGGTTAAAAAATATATGCCTAAAATTAAATCAGCCAGCATTTATACAGTACCTGAGCTGTCTCAAGAATGGAGATATTGTAATTGGGTGGTAACCATCATAAAATATGACTGAAAAATTTTAATTCTGTGACATTTTGCCAAGTAGCAGGAGGATGCTCTGGGATGACTGTTGAGACTGCCTACCTAGACTCAATGAGTGCCTAGCCCTTGTCCAGACTCTGCGTGTTCTGAGGATGTAACACTCAATGTTCAGTGTCCTCTGAAATCAGTGGAAAGGTGTGTATTAACTTCATAAACCACTGGGTCCTTCCCTTTGGGCTTTGTACTGTGCATATGCAATGTAGTTCTCACTTACATACTGCATGGAGCTTCTAAGTTAAAGTAACTTCAGCACTTGAGTAGGAAATAATTCCTCCTTTTTTCTCAGATGGCACGCAAATGCAATTTTTCTTTTTTTTTCCACAAAGTCATTATAGGGCAATAAGTATCTTGCTGCCTTGCAGTGCCTGACTGCTATCTGGTTAGATCCATCCCTCAACACCAAAAGCACAATGAACAGAAGCTGTCACAGCTAGAATGATGCAGAATCACAGAACCATAGAATATCTCGAGTTGGAAGGGATCTTCAAGTCCAAATTCTGAATTACAGTGACTGTAAACTTATTGGTTATCTCAATGCCTTGCATTTGAATTAGTAACAGCATTTTTATTTTGGTAAGTTATGCCACAGCTGACCTTTTTCACAGCTTTTGCCCTCGTATTCGACGGGACAGCGGCAAACATAATCCTGGAACTGGTCATCACAAATCCCACCATTCTGACAAGGGTTGGAGTCACACTGGTTAGGGTCTGTAAAACACTCAGTGTCAGTCCAGCTCACTCAAAGAGCTGCAGCAGTGGGCGTGCTCCACAGCTGTTAGAACATCCTGAATGATCCTACCGGAATAGATGTGCCAGAACTCTTCCTGGAAGAAAAACATGTGAGACTTAATTAAAGAAGAATCAAGTCAAGTCTTACAGCCCTTGTTGCACAGCATGGGTTACAGACAGTCAGAGTGATGCCACTTCTACCTTTATAGTTTGTGACAGTTAATATCCATAAAATATTCTATTTTCCAGATTGTACAGTTTTTTCACATACTAATAGAGAAGGGCCTTGTTTAATGCACATAAATAGGTCATACATAAATAAGCTCTGTATAGCTGAGGTGGGATTGACTGAAAAAAATGTTGCACAATACAATAATTTCAAGTATTCTCAGGGCAGGCATTACTGGGGGTTTGGGGAGATGTCTTAGAGACCATCTGCTTTGCCACCATCCTCTAAATGGTTACTGCTTGGGATTGCCCATGCAGAGTGCCCTCCTGCAATTCACTGCTGCTGTAGTGAATTTATCCCTGTAAATAGAAAAGAAAAATGCAAACAGCAGGACACAAAGTTCTTTTTTAACTCTGGTGGTTTAAAGTGTCAAAGCACAGCCTTTGAGTAGGGAGAGTTCTTATGACAATGAGTGCTCACCCAGCCTTGTGTTACTTACTGTCCTTTCAACATCACCGTAAATCTCTCTTGCTTCCTCATAGGAGCACCTTTCTTCTATGCATTCTCGCTCTAGTGACCCCCGTTTTATCTCTTCAAAGAAGCTGTTGGCTCGTCTTTGTCTTTGCAAAACGTGGCTTGCCTCTTCCTGCTTTAGAAAGACTGAAAAACAGCAGCACGTTTTGTTTGTCATAGAGCTGTGCTTGCCAGACAGAGAGGATGGGGAGACAATTTCCCCTGAAAGCTTTTCTGCTTCCCACGCTTTTTCTGAGACACTTTAGCAAAGAAATGGGCAGATGTGAAAGAATCTCCTTTCTCTGGCCTGCCTCAAGGTAAAGTGACAACACAGGAGTTTTAGAGATCCCAGAGCTTAGGAGAAGATGGCCTGTTACAGCAGTGGGGTGTGTGTGTGTGTGTGTGTGTGTGTGTATCTGTGTCTGTGTGTCTGTCTGTGTGTTGTATGCATGTCAGTGACTCTTGAGGTACTTGATGTCATATGCATCTTAGCACATGCAGCAGTTTCTTACAGCTGTAGCAGCTGGAGAGCCTGTGTCACTTTATCAAGCACTGGTGTGCATGGCACTGGAAAGCTCGTGTCACTTTATCTAGCACTGGTGTACATGGTAAAAGCTGAAATTCTGTACTTGATACAGTCACAGTGATAGGCGGACCACAGTCATGACTTCACCCACACACTCATGTTATTTCATACCCCTCCACTTGTTGGACCTGAAGAAGGAATTTACCCCACTACGAGTAGACCACAATTTATGAATCACTGCTTTAATATATTATCTTTAATTTTCTTCTATGGAAAATGTTATGTTAAGGTACATAGGAAGGCTGGACAATGCTGACTGCATTTCCTAGTGGAGCCTGTGATGGCTCCTAGCTCCTGCCATTACCACAGACTACAGCCAGGAAGGGGTCTTCTTGTGTCTCTACCACACTTTGGAAAGAGATTGGGTACATAGGTTTGGTAGCAGGCATCAGCAGAGGTCATTTCCTAGAACTGCAACTGGCAGAAGTGTGCACTGGAAACACCAATGGTCACCGTGCTGACCTGCTCCTCAGCCTCAGGGTATTAGCACATCACACAACTGTGCTCCCCCAGTATAATTCAGGATAAGGAACAAGAAGTCCAAGTGCTGGTGTGTAATTTTGCTCCACATACTACACAGAAAAAGTCTTGACATTTTTAATTATTTTTTTATCATCTACATCTGTAGGGGAGCTTCTGGAGCTTCATGGCAGTTTACATTTCAGCACTTTAACTGTTTCACCTCTGCTTGTGGGTAGATTTGGGGACTGAGGCTGATGCATATCTACTGCCTTTTCCCAGGACATTCTCTCAAAAAGAGTGGGAGTTATCTTCTACCTGCTGAAAGGGCCCTGAGGGATGCTGAAAGACAGACTCATGTGTGTCATACCAATATACACTCAGTCATAGATGCTGAGAGGGTTTATTCCAGTCTGAAGTGATGTGAGGTGTGTCCATAAACATTTGTTTCTAATTCAGGATATTTGCTGAATTACATGTAGAATAATGGTAATTTCCCCCTGTATTTCAAAGTTACTTAGAAGAATGAAGTATTGTGCACTGAATTTATCCCTGGGTGCATTTGGTCATTATAGGAATGTCAGGTGGGTCTTTCTGCCTTGATTTCAGTCAGGATGTATGCATTTGATATGGCTTTCTTTAAAGGCTTTTAGTTAATCTTATGCTGCAGATATGTGGCACACGTATCAGTGCATGAGCACAGACTCTGACAGAGGAGCATGCCTGAGCACATGGCTTGGGACATCCATTTGGCATTATCCAGTTTTTTGTATTGGATAATTTCTGACTTTGCTACCTATTTTCCCACCTTTCTCACTGCAACAAACAAGACCTAGTTAATGGCTAAAGGGGGATCTGAGAGCACTGGATCTGCTTTATTAATATGGGAGCTGGTTTTTGGACAAACAACTGAAGAGCTACCTCTTCTCTGCCTTCTACTGAAACAGAGTGGATCCTACCCACTTTAATTACTCATCAGCTGAGTGACAGGTTCTTGATGCTTTGCTTTGAAAAATGTCCCAGTTCTGCATGAAATAACCATAAATCCCAGTTCCTTTCTTCATGTAGACAGCTGGTGGTTTGCCTGCTGTCTGTGCACCAAGATAACAAATTAATTTAGCAGTCTAGAGGTGCTTTTCCTTAGTTGGCAGAACAAGTTCATGGAGCCACTGCTGAGAGTAAATAAGAGCTTTGGAATAATGCACAGGCACAGCAGGAGACACGACAAACACACAGCAGTGCTCAAAACTTGCAGTGGAAATCACCTCAGTAACAGGAAAGAGGAAAGAGGTCCATTGCCAGTAAATATCATTACAGCTATATCCTACAACATACCTGCATCCAGAGAAAGAGGGATCAGTAGCAGAAAGCAGAGAAACAAAGCCACATACTGCCTGGAAATCATGATGAACCCTGTGAGCCAGTGTTCTGGCAGTGTATTGACATTTCAGCAAGGACTGTTTGGCCAAAGGGCTCAGCTTCAAATGCCTGGAGCCAGAGGAGGGGCCAGCAAGTCATGGAAACAGCAAAAGATCCACGACAGCCTGGTGAGCTGAGCAGAAGGGCACACGCAAATCCTGCAATGTGCCCTTTTCACAGAAACAAGGGAGCTTGGTTTTGAAATGTGCTCTCCTGACCCATGCAAAAGCTATGCTGGTTACACAGGCTGCTACCCCAGGCCTGCATTTTCCATTTAACCCACCTTTTCCATGAGACATGTGAATGCTGGGACCCTGAATCCATAGGACAGGCATTAACTTGGCCACATAGCACCACATGCAGAGAGCAGTGATGTGATATTATCTTGCATCAGCAGTCAAGATATTCCCTTTCAGTGGTTTGGAGTATGATTGTGCCACTGGCATCTATTCCCATTTTTCTATCACCAGTTGAAACTCTGCACTTTTTCCTGAAATTGCTGGGAGACACTAATTAACCAGCAAGAGACACCCTACACTGGTTCTCCCCATCTTTGCTGCCAGAGCCATGTGGCCTGCACAGGTTGTAGCAGCTGGAAGTGGCACTGAGCTGATCCATGTTGTACTTCCGTAGGAGCTACCAGGGCTTGAGGGGCCACTCTGCAGACAGTGCTTTATGTGGAACATAAACAGTCCCCGATTTAATGGAAATCAATTCATGGCATCAGACTGGAAAGCTGACAACATTGTTGGGGAAATATTGACTTAAGATAGCAGCAAGGTAAAGAGCATGTTTGTCTATGAGAAGTGGAGCATTAGCTGAAGGCTGGACTGTTTTCCAGGCTGTTCTCCCCTTCCTGCCTGGAAAGGAAGGAGGGTCAGCCCTGCAACTGAATGCTACAGAAAAGGAAATTAGCAGCTGGATTTTTACTTTGTGCCAATGCTCAGCATATCTCCTTGCAGAAGTTGTGATTCCTTAGGAAAATCAGGCTCCTGGCTGTTGTTTCCATGCAGTCCTGTTGTTTAGGGGCAGTACACACAGCTGGATATTCTGCTTTGAAATCACTTTCCCAAGAGGCAGTATCCAGGCATTTCTCTGGATCACAGCCTGGCTAATTCCCAGCAGCCCAGTTCCTGGGCATGTCCTGACCCAGGCAGAGGAAGGAAGCCAGTTACTGGAATGCAAAAGAAACTACAGCAGCTCTTTGCTACCCCTCTCCGTACCTCTCAGTCTGCCAACACAACCCTGACTCCTTGTTCACTTGCCTGTGGCAGGAAGTTGAAAATAGCAAATCCATTTTCAGATTAGCAAGACCAAAATTAAGCTTGAAAATTTCTTTTTATCTCATCTTTTTGGGAATGATCTAGCCCCACCTATCTGTGTGAGTCATGCAGATCAGACAATGAAGTTCTGCCTTCTCTGCCTGAGGCCAGGCTGAGTCTGCACCCATGCCCCCCACTGCCTTTATTTCTTTACACAGGGTGGGCATCTCCCTGCCAGGGATCGGGGGGGGGGGGGGGGGGGGGGGGGGGGGGGGGGGGGTGGCTGCCACTCTGCAGTGGCATCACAGCACCTCTGCAACCTCCATCTTCTTCACAATGTGCAGATTCTGTGCATCCTTACGAGATTAAGGCAGGATTTTATCTTTGCCTTCCTTCCTCTGCTGACATCCCTTAAACCTGAAAGATTATGCTTTTATTTCTTGGGAATACAGCCAAACAGTTATTTTTAGAGCCCTGGAAGAAGCCCAAGTGCTGGGAACAAGGGTCAGTTCATATGGGGACCATCCTTCTTCCAAGAAAATGAATGCAATTAGGCTCCATCAGGATGAACCTGACAAGGGTCACTGAGGATTCAGCACTTCAGGACTACATTCCAACTCTTTGTTTAAGAACTTTATACTGACAGATGTCATCACACATGTGTTTCCTACTAACTTCAGCTGGGTCTGTTCATTGCTTAAAGACCTGTGTTTTTTAAGGGGAGTTCTCCCTTCCTTGCAGTCTTAGGCCCCAAATGTCCTGGTTTCAGCTAGCATAGAGGTGATTTTCTTCTCAGTAGCTTGTAGTGCTGTGGTTGGGATTCAGTGTGAGGATAAGGATAACAGACTGATATTTCAGCTATTGCTGAGCAGTGCTTCTACTGTCAGGATCTTTTCAGTGTCTCATCCTCTGCCAGTGCTGAGCTGCAGAAAAAGCAATGAGAGAACACAGCCAGGACAGGTGACCCAAACTGGCCAAAGGGATAGTCCATACAGTAGAATGCCATGCTTATATAAATGCTTATGTACTTACATGTAATGTATAAACTGGGGGGAGTCAGCTGGGAGGGGGTGGTCACTGCTTGGAACTGGGATGGGCATTGGCCAGTGAGTGGTGAGCAATTGTATTGTACATCACTTGTTTCTCTTGGGTTTTTTTCTGTTTTCTTCTCTTTCTGTGTCTCTGCTTTTTATACTACTAATACTATTACATTAGTATTATTATTTTGCTTCAATTATTACACTGTTCTTATTTCAACCCATTTTTCCTGATTCTCCTCATCTTATGGGGAGGTTGGCATTAAGCAGCTGCCTGGTACTTGTTGTCTGGGATTAAACCATGAAGTCTCCTTGGTGCTCAGCATAGGGGTTGGAAAGTTGAGATGATGACTGATCTGACCAGAGAGTATTAAAACAAGTTTGTTATAAGCCTTCATTGCATTGGTTTAATAGTCACTGGTCACAGTGCTGATTTATTTGCCACCAGAGTGGTTGTGCTTGTTCTCAGGGCTGTGTTAAGCAATACCTTACTTGCAGCATTTGTCGCTGTTTTGGTGTCTGGCGCCTTCGGGGCCTGGGTTCTCTTGCATTTCCTCGTATCGGCTTTTGATCTGATAAGAACCTCTGGGTGCGAAACCAGCCCGGGGTGTTCTCGGCATCGCTGTCCCTTCCTATGTCGGGAGCCATCTGCTGGGAACTGTTAATACTTACACCAGCCCCAATCCCCAGGACGGGCGCTGCTGCTCGAGGGAGGAAACGGATTCAGATTCCAGCAACAGGCTCTGAAGCTACTCAGATTCTGCTAAGGAGCACTGGGGCTACTCACACTCCAGTTGATTTCACTTGGAGGGCTGTCAGCACACCTGGAACTGACAGCCCCGGGGTGGCAGCACAACCCCACCATCTGCCATGGATGGATCTGGAACACCTGCAGTGCAGTGATGATATCATTGTGTGGGGCAATACAGCAGAAGTTTTGAGAAAGGGAAGAAAATAGTCTAACTTGTTCTGAACAACAGTTTTGCCATAAAACAAAATAAAGGTCAAGGGACCTGCACAGGAGATGCAGCTTTAGGGAATACAGTGCTGAGAAGGGTGTTGCCACATCCCAATGGATGTGATCATAAAACAACAGCAATGTCTCCACCAACTAACAAGAAAGAAATAGAAGCTTTCTTAGGTGCTGGAGAATGCACATTCCAAACTGCAGTCTGATTGTCATCTCTCTCAAGTGTTCAGGAAGAATGAATTCAACTGGGGCCCTGAGTAACAAGCCTCTGGACCAGTCAAGCAAGAGATATTCATGCTGTAGCCATTGAGCCAGTGTGAATAGGGCAAGATGTAAAGAATGTGCTGTACACCACAGACAGGGGAGACAGTCCTACCTGGAGCCTCTGGCAGAAAGTACCAGGGGAGACTCAAGACTGATCCTTATGGAGTCACACTGACTCCAGAGGATGGAAAGCCCACTATGCTGTAAATGATGAAGAGCTACTGGCAGCTTATGAAGGTGCTGAAGCAGCTTTGGAAGTGATTGGTACAGAAGCACAGCTCCTGCTGGAACCCTGGCTACTCCTGCTGCATTGGATGTTAAAGGAAGGGTCCCCTCTTCACATCATGCAGTGGTGGTGGTGCATCATGCATCTGATGGGGGCACAGTGATGATGGAATCAGAACTGGTTTCAACAGGCAGCAATCCATGTGCCATCTTTCCTGCCCTGAAAAATTATTATGAAAGGTGAGGAGTGGGGTCATGGATTGAATGAATTCAGTGGACTTTCATAAGTGTGGCCTATAGCTTTGACTTATGTTCTCTGAGCAATTCCAAAAAAACCAAACTGCTGTTCAATTAAAAATTAATATATATTTATGCAAACATGTACCTCTGCTGCTCATGGGTGCTACTAGAATCAGTTTGGGAGCAGCTCTGTTTAATGCCACATATCTCAGTTGGTAATGAGAGATATTAATTTTGCTAAAAGCCTTTTCTTGACTGAGGCCATCACATCCACAATGGCACCGCTAGCAAATCCACAGTCCTTTAAATGTAGCTGGGGACCTTGCTGTCCCGCCAGTGGATGGGGAGTAAATAAAAATTCACCTCCTTTCAAATTAATGCCCAGAGAAGGCACTTCAGTAGTTAAATGTCTTATTTTGGTAATACAATCTCTAAACACAAGTTTACACAAAGTCTTCAGAATTTCTATTCTATTCCTTCATTCTTAATTAAGGGATTTGATTACCTGTACCTGAATACCCCTGAATTTGGGTTGCTTCATCATACAAGGCAGATCTGGTTCTTGCCACACACATCTAGGGAGGCTGCTAATTCTGGGGACTTGTGTGGAAATAGAGGAGTTCATAGTAACATGTAACATATCACTGAGAAGGGGAATGGGAGTTCCTGTAATTTTGAGTTAGGTGATGTAAATGAGTTACGGTACAACTTCCTTGGTTTTGCTCAATGGCAACATCTGTGCAGGATGGAGAAAATGTTTTGTATTCCAGCTAGCAAACTGCTTCTGTATCTGTGAAACAGTCTGTGCCCCAACTTTGGGACAGTGATCTCAGAAAGCAATCATTATTAGGTTTTTATATAGAAAACCCTTTCGTTTTACGCTTTACTAAGGTACATTTGGGCTGGACTTGTTTCATTCTTTTCTCAAAAAGGCTGGACCTCCTCTTGCTCAGAAAAGTAGAACTACATATTACAGAGGGAGCTGTTATGATGACAAGATCAAGACTAAACAAAAGGCAATCAAGTCTCAGTAAAACACCATGACTGGATCCTGTAATGCACATGGCCAATAGCTCAGCCCAAATCACTCCAGTCAGTATGAAATCCACCTGGCATGGCATGGTGGTGCCTAAAGTCATCAATCACTGCATGCACAAGCATGCTCCTCTTCAGATGCAGCAGGGTGAACGTGGTGTCTTGTTTCTCACCCAGCCATGGCCAGATGCAGACCTCCAATTTGCTCTGCCAGTACTAGAGGATCCATGGATACATGGCTTTCCTTGGGAAAACCCAACAGTGATGTGCTTTCTTTCAGAAAAGGGTGTGTGGGGAAAAGGGAATCAATCCAATTACCTGGCACTGACTTTGATTTTTTATCCTCAGCCTGCAGACAGGCTTTAATTCCCTAGTGCCAGGCACATGATTCTAAGTGAGACATGACCACAAAGGTGAAATGGTGTTTTCCTGAGATGGTGCCAGAATAAGCAGGCTGAGGATTTCAATACACAGACCTGGTTTTCTGTTCCAAATCCTAGAACCTCTCTCTGTTTTAATTAGATACCCTTAAAAAACTTTCAAGACTGTGAGACAAAATAAACCCCAGAGCATGTCTATATAAAGGCATTCAGCAAGAAGTGCTGAAATTTATTCAAATTAATTACAGTAGAGACCTCTGACTTTGAACTTCTAACTCACAACAGCAGTAAAAAAGGAAATGATGAAATGGGTTGTATTAAAGTGCAATGATGTGGAAAAACCATTGAAATAACACAAATGAGGCTGCAGTGAGAAATGAAACAATAGTCTCATCCAAGCAATGACAGCAATATATAAGTAAATTATGTTACAGATAATTTACAAAATAACTTACATAGATGAAGATAAGCTGAATCTCATGTTGCTATTCCATTGTTAAATATCAGACTAAATATTCCTGGTCAGCACAGTATTATATGGAATAATACAAAAAAGATCAGAGGATTTCCATATTGAAAAAGATGCCTGAAGTAAAACCCTGATCAGCATTTATATTGCAGTACTGCAAGAAAACTAAGTATTTATGAATTGTAAAGTGACACATTCAGCAGCATGAAGACTATAAATACATCTTTTACATTGATACATCATATCTACACACATATACATATCTACACAGGCAGATATATACACACAAGCACATACATGCACATCTATCTGTGCATACATTTATGTGTGTGTATATACATGCTTCAATTTGTGCTGACCATGGCCAGCTGCATTTTGATTGCCTCTGGGGTAGGGTTGCTTCTGCATCATTCCTAGAGGTGTCTGTCATTTAATCTGAAGCCTCTAAAACATAAAATTCTGGCATAAAGAGAGAATTCAGGGCTCAGCCATTAGTGAGTCTGATGATTAACAGCAGTTCCCACTGACATAATCTGCTGTGCTTAGTGCTTCTGAAA